TAACAAAAACTCCCTGTTTCTCCCACCAGCGCTTTGCAGATGTTTCACCCATCGCTCGTCGCCGGCCGATAAGTTCCCGAAGCTACGACTGCTCCCACGCTTCCCTTTTTTGAAGAATTTCCCGAGGTGTGCGTTTAAACACCAAGGGTCCTAGGAATCCTTGCCGCTGTGTTTCTTGCCAGGCAACTTCGAAAAGCGCCCTTCAGGCGAAGTCCCCCAGCGACTCAACCGCACTCCAAGAAACGAAGAAACACCCTCAGCTTCATATTTTTTTTTGTCGTTTCACCCCCCGAACATTCCACTTCCCGCCGTTCACCCAGCGTCCGCTTTTGTCGGATGGGGTATTGTCGGTGTTGCCCTGCGCGAACCCCAGCCACGGTGGAGAAGAAAAGACTATCGGAGTCGGGGTTGCCTTAGTTAAAAGGAAATCAGTCCCAACCGCTTCGCAGCCCACCGTGCCCGTCGCGCCACTAAAATTCCACAGCTTCCGGTCCCAGCTTCGCCGCTGCGCCGTCACCTCGTGTAGACGCCCGGGTCAGAGGAAACCTGTAAACTGCACCAGTGTTGTCCTGCGGCGCCCCGATTTTTTCGCGTGCTGTTTCACCCAGCCCGCTTTTGTCGGAGTAGAACAGTGCCGCAACTCCCCTTTTTTGTCTTTTCTGTACAGCTGTCGAACGGGCACCAAACCAGGTGCTTTTAACCAGCGCAGGGTAGGCTCGTGTTCACCCCCGTTATTCATCCGAATAAGGTCGACTGCATGAGTCGGAACCAGTAATCGGTGGGGATGGTGAGGTTCGGGCGAAGTAGGGCCGCAGATCGGTTCCACCGGCTTTTATCTGCTCCCCACGACGTTCTTCAACCCCCGCTTAGCCGTTGGGCAGTTTCTTCACGCGTGTCCCGGCGGCCTGCACCACACTCCGAAATTGTCGGGGTGGCACGTTGAACACCGTTTAATCGTGGGCTGTTGCGGCTGTCCCCGAAAACGGCTTCCTTGAACGGGGAAACCGATCTCGAAACTGTCGAACAGCTGGCAAGCAGCTCCAGGCACGCAGCAACAAACGAGTATTTCTCGGGTGTTCAGTCCCGATATGCCCTCGCGCCTGCGCCCCACTCCTGCTAAGTGCGATTTAGCCACGTCGTTGTCTGTTGCAGCCCGTAAGTGTCGGCGGGTCCAAAGTTCCCGTCTGTCCACAAGCACTTCTGCCGAAAATCGTCGACGACTCGCCCGCCAGTACGGTAAGCGCCGCACTATCCGGTCGGACGGGATAAAACTCAACCCCCGCATAATTCGGGCGGCTTGAGCGTCTATCTCTCCAGCCGTCGGGATCCTCTGACGCAAAACTCCATTTGCGCCTGGCGAGTCCTTCGAGCTGCCCTTTTCTTCACAGTAGAAACCTCCGAAATTGTCGCCCATGCTGACGCAGGCCCGTTGTCGCCAGCTGCCGAAGATTCTCCCGAGAATCTCGCGCACAAGATGACGGCTTGCCATCGACGTCACTTGCCGCGTAGGGACGACTCCGAAATCTTCGCGCAACTGTTGACGCAGATCCGCCAACGCCAGCTGCCACTCGTGATGACGACGTCGATGCTGTTCGTGCAGGTGCCGACGCAGGTCCGCTGACGCAGGCTGCCACACGAATCAAGCTCCGAAATCGTCGGAAATCGCAGCGGAAATTACTCACTTTAATGTCGCGACAGCTACTGCTGCCCGTCGCCCGGGGGGAGGGAGGTCATGGTCGATCGCGACCGTCGAGCTAAGGATCTGGCGGTGCCGAAGGAGTGCCCCGTAAAACCATGGCCGCGAAGAGCAACTAACTAGTTCTCTTGGCCGGCCTACGCAACTCCTGGACCCCAAGGCATCCTTACTCGTCCCCCCCCCCCCCCCGAGGGGTATTACACTCTAAAAAGCGGGGTAGGCTAGGAAAGTAGCTCTGATACCAGGTGTTATGAATGAACTTGTCAGAGTGCGCGGATATCGAATAACGAGAATGAGAAATTACAGAATGATTGAACAATGAAGTAGCGAGGCCTAAATAGGGGAAAACCTAGCTAGGCGGGGGGTTCGGGATGGGATGGCTCGGTGATGGCCACGATTGGAGCGGAGGCCGACTCGGGGGTGGTTCGGTGCGACGAAATAGGCATCGCAGGTTCGTCGCGACACCCTTCGGGGTGTCCTCGCTAACAACTTACTGTCAGAACATTATGCTCTAGCCTGTAGTGGGGTGCTCTGTAGCGAGTACAACCCTTCTAGGGTTTGCTATTTGTATCCCCATTCTTGCTAGTGCAACCCCCCTTCTTTCGCCTAAACTCTCTTGCCTAGCTAGGACTCACCTATCTATGGCTCCTAAGACTACCGCTTATCTTGACATGCTATCAGAGCAGGTCGACCCCCTTGGGTCGATCCTGTGGGTGGGCCCACCACCAAATGCTTCCGCTGCTGTTCTACTGGTCGCGCGACGCCTCCTTCCTGCCGTCGATTTTTTTTTTAAGGTTTTCATCCCGCCGTACGCTCGGGGCGTGCGGCGGTTTTCTGCCTACCGTGCGCCCCGAGGCGCGCGGCGGTTTCCCACCGTCGAAGTGCCCCCCGTCGCCCGTCGAAGCGCCCCCCCCCCCCCGTCGCCCGTCGAAGCGCCCCCGTCGCCCGTCGGAGCGCCCCCCGTCGCCCGTCGAAACGTCCCCGTCGCCCGTCGAAGCGCCCCTGGGACCCGCGCGCGGCCCGTACGGGCTGCGCCAGGCCCGCGCGCGGCCCGTACGGGCTGCGCCAGGCCCGCGCGCGGCCCGTACAGCCCGCGCGCGGCCCGTACGGGCTGCGCCAGGCCCGCGCGCGGCCCGTACGGGCTGCGCCAGGCCCGCGCGCGGCCCGGGCAGCCCGCGCGCGCCTCGTCCCGCCTGCGGCAGACCCGTGCGCGCGCCTCGTCCGTCCCCCAAGCTTCTGAAGGCGCCCCACCCCTCCTTCTGCCCGTTCTCCTGGATTAGGGTTTGGGGTTGGGGGGTATGGGGGTGCAGCTTCTGTGTGCCGTTCCCTGCTCCTCCTCCTCCTCCGTCTCCCTGTGCTGCAGCTGCCGCTGAGGGGGGTGGACCTGTTGGAGCCGTCGGAGTGGTACTAAGGGGGGGTGAAGGGGGAGTGGAGCTAGCGGTGTAGCAGCGGGTGTGTGTCGAGGGGTGTGGGACTGTTGGGGGAGGTTGAGGGGAGGTTGCCGTCGTGTCGTACGCAGCGCCTGTACTCCGGGGCACTCACTCCCGGTAGCTCAGAGAGCCGGTTGCGCCGTCGCCTGTGGGTCCGTTGCTCCTGCTGCTCGTCTTAGCCGCGGAGCCTGTTACTCCTGTACTCCGAGGCACTGACTCCCGGTAGCCACTGTGTCGCACCAGAGCCGTCTGTTGCCCGTGTGACTGCAGCTTCAGTCGTCGCCTCCCATCTACTCTCCTCTCGCCAGCCCTCCTCCTCCTCACTTGCCCGTTGTGACTACCACTAGCTTTGCTCATAATTGTGAACTTTAAACTATTGCTTCTTAAACTTGTGCTCAGAATGTGTGGTGACATTGTGATCCACCCTGAGCTTGTACTGCTTTGCTTGCTCTGCTGATTACACCCCACTTTGGCTATGGGGGTGTGTCAGAACATTATGCTCTAGCCTGTAGTGGGGTGCTCTGTAGCGAGTACAACCCTTCTAGGGTTTGCTATTTGTATCCCCATTCTTGCTAGTGCTACCCCCCTTCTTTCGCCTAAACTCTCTTGCCTAGCTAGGACTCTCCTAGCTATGGCTCCTAAGACTACCGCTTATCTTGACACTTACTACAGTAAGGAATTCTAATTCCTTACAAAATTGGTAAGTCATATGATTACCGTATATCACATTGGTACAATAAGTGCATTTATTGCTCTATTTGGCTTTCCAAGTTTCCCTTAGCATATGTAGAAATAGGTGCGCGCATACTGGAGTGTCTTGCACCGTGGAACAAACACCAGGAATTTCACAATTCACAGATCAGAGGATTATTAATCCAGTATGAACTCAATTATGGTCATAGTGGTCGAATTTAACTAAAATTGTAAATGTATTTTCGTGCTTCTCATATATGAGCATGCCCGAACGCGTACCGAGGACGCGTGAAGCACAAGAAATCAGCGACGGCGAACAAGAGCGCCTTGTTTGATCTGTGGGACCAGCCCAAACGAGAGAGCCAGCGCGGAAGCTTCGCTTCCATGAACGCATCGTCACCATTCAGTTGGATGTCCCTTCGCACGCCACCTCTGCATGCCGTCGGATCAGAGTGACCAAACCCTTCAGCGCACGGCCACATCGACGAATACTGTTTGCTGTGTGCGTCACTCTCGTGCGAGGCTCACCTGCGTGGAAAGTGAGTACCCCCATTCTCCCGTCATCTTCCCCCTCTTCCTCTCTGCTCTGCACTTTCGCTCCTCCCCCATTCGCCCCATATCCTTCCGCGTACTCCCTTCTTCAGCGGAGCACCAATCAGCTCTCCGCTTCGAATTTCCCCTTCCCCCTGTCCTCCCGATGAAACACGCCCCGCTTACCATCTACTGTACACATGCTCAAGTTCCCGCCTGGCGCCCCTCCTCTCACGTCCCTGCCCTTTCCTCCTGCTAGCACTGCACTGCAGCAGTCCTCCGCTCCGGCGCATCCTCCTCCCGCAAAGCAGCGCCATGCTGCTGGTCCAACAGCATCAGTGAGGGTTCTTCCATTTTACACCAGAGATCAAAACCAGGCATCCAGCCCACGTCCTGTCATATTTCCACATACGAGAGTGTCTGACAACGCAGGACAAACGTTCCTTGCTGCGCCCCCACGGCCTCTTGCGATTACGCGATAATCGAGTTTTTTTGTACTATTTTTTTCGGACCTTAGAGTTCGTTTGTAAAATTTTTGTACCGGATCTCTTCGAAGTTAGAGTTTTTGTAAACTCGCTTTTTTTTTCTAGATTCTCCTCTAGTAGCTGGAGTTCGCATCGTTAAATAGTTTCAAAACAGTATAGAAGAAGATGCCGCCGTTCCGTCTACCGCCGGGGTTCCGGTTCCACCCGACGGACGAGGAGCTGCTGGGGTACTACCTGCAGCGGAAGGTGGAGAACCGCCTTGTGGACGACGGGCTCATCGTGGAGGTCGACATTCTCAAGTGCGAGCCGTGGGACCTGCCCAGCCAGTCGTGCCTCGAGGCCGGCGAGTGGTACTTCTTCTGCGCGCGCGACAAGAAATACCCGCACGGCTCGCGCGCCAATCGCGCCACGGCGAAGGGGTACTGGAAGTCGACCGGCAAGGACAAGCCCGTGCGCAGCTCGCGCACGTCGCGACAAATCGGGATCAAGAAGACGCTCGTGTTCTACCTTGGGAGGGCGCCACGTGGCGAGCGGACGGACTGGGTGATGCACGAATATCGGCTGGAGCCCGAATCGCGGTCGCGCGGCGGCCCCGCGGCGGACTACGTGCTGTGCCGCGTGTTCAACAAGAGCGCCGGTGCCGCGGAAACCGCGTTGCCCATGGATCAAGACGACGGGCAGCCCACTGCGAGCGAGCCGCCGTGGGAGACGGGAGGAGGCGGAGGAGGAGGTAATACTCCGGGTGGTGTGTCGCCGTCGGGTGCGGGTGGTGCGGGTGGAGGGGGACAGCTCGTAAAACTTGGGGGGAACGGAGCTGCGGGAGGCGCGGAGGAAGCGGGCGCGAGCGACGTGGAGTCGGAGGGCGCGCTGACTACCACCACCGACCTTCATCCGTTCTTCCGGGAACCTTCCGCCCGCAGCGACGGCACGAACGGCTTCTCCGTCGTTCCCGAGTCCCTTCCCGCTCCTGCCGCCGCTTACCCGTCCGTGCCCGCTTTCCCCGCCGCTGACGCTTCATTCGTCTCCCCGGGAACGTTCGAGCCGCCGTCGCAGGAGCCGGGATTTCCGGATTTCCCGTTCGAGCTGCCGCCCGTTGCGGAGCTGGGGCACATGGAGGGCGGCGCGGAGAATCTGATGGACATTCTTGGACTGGAGGAGGTCGATCTCGTGCCCGTCGACCCTGCCACCGCGCCACTTGTGCCCCTCGCCGCGCCGGATGTGTCTGCGACTGCGAGCGGGATTGCGGGGAGCGGAGCGGCGCGGCAGGAGGCGGAGAGCGAAGTGGATGTGGACGGATTGTTGGAGAACATTCATTGGCAAGCCGTGCCTGCAGCGGGCGCTGCGGCGGTGGGCCACATGGAGGAGCATGGGGTCGCTCACGTGGCGGAAGCGGAGGAGTGGAATATACCGATGGAGGGCGGTGAGGAGTGGTTGGGCGAGCAGCTGCCGGCGTTGAATCTCCCCGAAGGCATCTCCATCGACGACTTCCTCGAAGACGCATTCGTCGCCGACGACCTCTACGAAAACCACGCCGCTCTTCCCGCCGCTCCTGCCGTTCTCGCTGCACCGGGTGCGCCTGGTACGCGTGCGATGGCGGCGCCTGGTGGTTTCGCACCTGCTGCCCTTGCTGGCGCTCCCAGTGCGGCATCGCGAGCGGCACTCAGAGCAGTGGCTCCCGCGCCTCTGCGATCAGCGCGCCCAGCCGGCGCAGCCACCATCGCAGCGGCCGCCGCAGCGCTGGCGAAGGCCAAATCAGCACAGGGGGCCGCCGCCGCAGCAGCAGCAGGGGGAGGCTTGGCACCGCTCGCTACCGCTTCCAATTCTGGTCTCGTTCCCATGGGCGCCACCGCCACGAGAGCACTGGTGCGGCCGAGGTCGCGGCCTGTGCGCGCCGCTGGCGCCGTCATGCCGGCCGCCGGCGCATCAGTGGCGGGACGGCGCGTGCGCATGCAGGTCTTCAACCCGCCGCAGCTGGCGGCTGGTGGCGGAGCGCGGCTGGCGAGCAGCGGCAGCCGCAGTGGCGCGCCGTCGTTGAATCTGGACGCGCGTCCAACTCCTCACGCGCACATGCACGCGCGTCTTGCCCAGGTATTGCGATATTTTAAGCGGTGGTAACTCTTCAATCCTTTTCCTTCTCGGGCCTTTTTTGTTTGTGTGTGTGTTTCTCTTTTCAGGGTTTGTCCTGTTTTTGGGTAGCTTTTGTCTTCTTCTAGCGTGTTTTTCCTTTTTTTCCCCCATTTTCTTGACTGTTCCGCGCCTCCCTCCTCTCCATCTCTTTCTGAATCAGGCCGATGGAAGTGTGAATGATGAGGACTGTCTCATAGGTGCTCAAGAGTGGTCTAGGGGGATGGATCAGCATGAGGGCATGGTAGCAGCAACACCCGTAGCAGCGTTTGATGGGCGGGGTTTGGATTCACGCATGGAGCTCAGCGCCGTTGCAGGTACACCGCGCTTGCCATTTGTCACGTCTTCTCACCCCACGTGTCACGCCCGCTTCTCACGTCTCTGCTGTGTTCTCGGGAGGCTGTTGCCCCTCCCTTGTCTGACTTAGCATTCGCTGATGGTCCGTGCATGTGTTTCTGCGTGTTTGTGTCGCCCTCTCCCCTATTCTCGTGCGGCAGACGTCACAATGCATTTCGGCGTGGAGGACGTGGAAGGACACGGGGCTCGCATGACACACCACCCCGCGCACGCCCGCACACATGCTGGTGTGGGTGATTATGCTCCTGCTGCTGGCGCCGCTGCTGGCGCCGGTGGTGCTGCTGCTGCGGCAGACGGTGCGTTTGGTGGTGCTGCTGGGCCGGCAGGTGCGCTGTGGGTGGTGGGGCAAGAGGAGGAAGGAGTACGGATATTGCCCGTACCACAGGGCGGTGCGGCAGAAGGCGGTGCAAGAGAAGGTGGTGCCGTAGGGATAGCGGCTGCTGAGCCCGTTAGACTGCATGCGCATGTGCTTGAAGCGCTTGCGTTACAGCCACACCCGTTACAGGAGCGCGGAGGGCACACGGAGATGGAAGGGGGGGCGGAGTTGGCAGGGCTGGACGATCTGATGTTGGCTGGTGGCGCCGCTGGTGGCGCCGCTGCTCTCGCTGCTGCCCCTGCCGCCCCTCCTCCGCCTGCCGCCCTTGCGGCCCCTCCCGCTGCCCTTGCTGTCCCTGCAGGTGCAGCTGGTGTTCCTATAGCGGATGTTCCTCTAGCGGTCGAGCCTTTAGCTGGTGTTCCTATAGCTCATCACGTGTTAGAGCCCCCTGTTCCTGGTGCTCCTGCCAGGGCTGTTGCCGCCCTGCCTCTCGCGGCACCAGTTCCACCTGCGCCCGCTGGGCCGCATCTAGCCCCTCCCGCCGTCCCTGCTGCACAAGGAGCCGCTCCTGCTGCTGCGCCTGCAGCTCCTGCCTTACCTGCCGTAGCGGGAGGGGTGCTTCCGGCGCCTGCTGCTGCAGCAGCAGCGGCAGCGGAGGCGGGGGCAGGCGGAGCAGCAGCGGGTGCCGTGATGCTTGGGGCGGCAGCAGGGCGTGCGGTGGTGGAAGATGGAGGTGCGGCGGCTCTCGCCGTGCAGCGCGATCCAGGAATGCTGGAGCGCGGAGGAGGGGAGGAGCGAGGAGGAGTAGAGGGGCATGGAGGGGAGGGAGGCATGGAGGGTGAGGTGATGGCTGGTCATGGCGCTGGCGAGAGGGTTGGCGGCGGCTACATCGAGGGAGGTGCAGGGGTGGTCGCTCTGGGAGATAGGGAGATGTTGCACGCGCAGGGAGGTGGTGGTGTGGCACGTGTGGTACAGATAGAGCAGGCAAGACAGCAGCCTCTGCAGCAGGCGAGGCTGCAAGTGGCACGAGGTGGTGACGTGGCTGGCCGCCATGAGGCTGAGCTGCACGATCCACTGCATGAGGAGAGGCGTGAGGAGAGGAACGGGGAGAGGCAGGAGGAGAGGCATGGGGAGAGGGGAGAGGCAGATGTGAGGAGAGGCAGGGCAGGGCGGGTTAGGGGCAGTGAAACCCCGATGGAGGCGGAGGGGCCAGCAGGCCCCACTGCAGCAACTCCATCCCAGATGATGCCGACACACAGTGTGCTGCCGGGCGGCAGCGCTTTTAGGAGTTCAGATATTGCTCAATCCGACGACGCTTCTGTAGCACAGGCGGAGAAACTCTCAACAGCAGCAGCAGGCGTGTCAGCAGCTGCTGTAAAATCGCTGGTCGTTGCAGTGCCTGCTGCAACAGCCAGTGCTGTTTCGTCAGACTGCCTAAGTGCAGTGGATGCAGTAGGCGATGTGGTTGGTGAAGTAGATTCAGTTGCTCAGCTCTCAGTGCATCCTTTGGCACCAGAGAGGCAGGACGAGATTGGGGACCAGCGGTGTGTGTGCGCGCGCACCCGTCCCATAGCAGACCTCATTGCAGAGTCCAAGAAGACACGTGGGCAGCGCCACCTTTGGAAGCAGTACCTGCCTGCTAGGCGCTCCGTCAACCTCGGAGCTGCTGCTCCCACACCAGCAGCGGCACCAGCAGCAGCAGCAGCAGCAGCAGCGACAGCAGCAGCAAGAGCAGCAGGGGTAGGGGCAGGTGGAGAGGCGGAGGGTGCTCCAGCCAGAGCAGGAGCAGACTCAGCCGCCCCTGTCCTCCACCCCGTGAAGCCCCGTGGACAGGCAGGGCCAGCAGGGCCAGCGGCAGTGATTTCCAAGGGAGTGCGCGTGGGGGGAGGCAGGCCGGTGCACTCGCTGTCACGAGGAGTGGCAGGTGGGGGAGGGTTGAGGCCGCCTGGGGGCCTGCGACCCGCTCCGCGGTACCTGAGCGGTGTGCTGCAGCTGCTCTCCGCCCTCCCTGCTCGCCCTGCCCATGCCGCTGAGCTGGCTGCAGGTAGAGGGGCGGGTGGTGGGTTGCAGGGTGAGGGGGCTGCGGGGGAAAAGGGCGGTGGGGTGGAGAAGCAGGTGGAGGTAGAGGAGTGGAGCGAGGAGGACGAGGAAGAGGAGGTGTTTGAGTCGCGCTGGTGGGTTGATTCTGAAGGGAGAGTGGTGCAGAAAGACAGGCTGCTGGGGGTTAGTGGGAGGGGATGGAGGAGTGGGAGGGGAGCCTTAGAGATGGAGGAGTGGGAGGTTGAGACAGAAGAGGTGGAAACAGAGGAGATTGAATCAGAGGACGCTGATGTATTGTCGTCTGTGGTGACTGATGAGGACACTGCAGACCCTGACTTGCAGGACACTGCCAGCAGCGCAGGGTCAGGGGGGTCCGGTGGAAGCAGGGAATTGGATAAGAATGTGGGAAACAATGAGGGGAGGAGTCATGGGAGGACGAGCAGCAGCAGGGTGGTTCGGCGGCACAGAGTGACAGTTGCCACGGGGTGGGTCGAGCGGCCGCACCAGCCGCACGATTCTGCATCTCCGATTGCTAAAAAAAAAAACGCGGCCAGGGCCAAAGGCTATGGCCTAATGAAGGGCGGGGAGTTGAGTGGCGGTGTGGGCACCAATGGGCGGCTGAAAGAGCTGGAGGGGCTGGAGGAGCTGTCTCCCTGGATGCTGCTTGCTCTGCTGCTGCGCCCGCTGGTGGTGGCTGTGAGGCGATGGCTGCATGAGCAGAGGCTGCTGCTGTGGGTGGCCTTGGCGCTGTGCTGTGTTGCTGTGGGTGTGCTCTTGGCGCCTGCGTGTCATGTTTTGCCTCGCTTCGTGGCCACTTCAGTTGAAGATTAGGAAGGCGGTTGCAAAATTGGTAGCTCTGGTGGCAGAAAATCGGCCACCATTAGGATCGAAGTGCCTTTGTAAAGAACCTTGCCATTCTAGAGCGTTTTACAGCCTCATATCAAGGCAACCTCACAAAACATTAATCTTGGTTTCATTTGATTTTTTTTTTGGCCTAATTTCTGGTTTTATGCACAACAGAAAAGGAAGAATGAATTTTACATCCTTGAACCCCACAAAACAAGAATCTTCCGGTTGAGTCAAATGAGATTGTGTGACGTGGTTGACAATGCACACGACACAGATTGTGCGCGATGGTCAACGGTCAACCAGCACTGTTTGATTTGAACCCGACAACACAGTGTCAGAATAGTAAGCGAGAATGAGTGCCAGCGGTTCCACGGTGTTGGGCTGAGATAGCCCCTTAGGATCTTTTCAGGGGAGAACTCTGGGTAGGACAATTGTAATAGCGGAAGCTTTTAGTGAAGTAATTGTGAACCACCTTGCGCTAGTATGTGAGGGCAAAGTAGATTGATTATAACAGGAAAGTACAAGAATATATAGTGGTGTAAGGAATATCAAAGGATACGGTTATAACTACTTTTACTGTTGCTGTTGCGGTTCGATACAGTACGACTCGGGCAACTGCTCTGTAACGAGTCAGTTGTATGTCCTTAACTGTCGCGCTGTACTTGTCGGGTCAAAGGTCAGCGACCTTTGACCTTCGCGTAACCTCCAGCAACCTCTTCAACCCCCGAGGGTTGACTCGCGGGTGCTTCGGTGTAGTTTGCCTCGCTTCTGATGCGGTGTTTTCGACACGACTGAAGCGCTTAGGTCTTATTGTTTCCAACACTCCCCTTCGCTTCTGGAGTGTCGCTGCTGGTGACGTGGCCCTGTCCAGTCAGCAGCATGCAATACTCGAACTTTTGCTTTCCGAGTTTCTTGGTCAAGTAGTCAGCTGCCATCTCGGATGTGGGGCAGTATGACAGCTCGAGTCTCCCCTTCTCGATCTCGTCCTTCACGAAGAAGTAACGTAGGGCAATATGTTTCGTCCTGTTCGCGAAGCCGTTCTTGTTGGCGATGCGAATTGCTGACTGGTTGTCGCAGAACACGTTAAAGTTGGGTAACTCGGCTAACTTCGCTTCTTCCAGTAGCTCGCGAAGATAGAGTCCTTCTTTGGTGGCTGAGCAGAGTGCGATATATTCTGCTTCAGCTGAAGATAGCGCGATTAACTCCTGCTTGCTTGACTGCCAGGAGATAGGACCGATAGGCTCGAGGCGGTAGACGTAGCCGGTGCGTGAGCGTCTGTTGTCAGTGTCGCCGGCGTGATCGGCATCGACGTAGCCGATTAGCTTGGTTGGTGTAGCTGCGTTCTTGTGATAAGTTAAGCCGATCATTGCGGTGCTGATAAAGTAGTGCAGAGCGCGGTCAAGTTCCGCCAGGTGTTCTGCTTCAGGCTTCTTGAGATAAGTGGCGAGCTGGCTTGCGGAGTAGGATAGGTCGGGTCGGCAAGTGACGGCTGCGAAGAGAAGGCAACCTAGCTTCCTCTGATAGTTGCGTATGCCGGCGGATTTAAGTGGGGTAGATTCCTTATCGGCTCCTGTCGTGTAGCGGTATGGTGTTGAAATCGCGGCTGGCGTAATTCCGAATCGTTTGGCGATGGCGTCGGCGTACTTTTCGGCGCTGAGGTAGATCGCGTCGTTATCTTCTCGAATGTTAAGTCCGAGATACTGTGTGACGGTAGATGAGACAGTGAGGGTGAGGTCCCTCTGCAGCTCCCCTTCGAACCAGGTGGTGATGCTGTCGGTAGAGCCGATGTAGAGAAGATCGTCCACGTAGACAATTAGCAAGATGTAGTCGCTGTTCTTCGTGAGGCGGTACATGCCCTGATCGTGCGGGAGTTGTTTGAAGCCGATGCGGATGAGACGAGTATGCAGGTACTGCTGCCACAGTCGCGGTGCCTGCTTGATCCCGTAAAGCGATTTTAGTAGCTGGCAGACGTGCGTGGAATTTGTGTTGGAGCCGTGCGGTAGTTCCACGAAAATCTCTGCATCGACCGGTGCGTAGAGAAAAGCGTTTGCGACGTCGATTTGGCGCAGTTTCTTTTTCTTCATAGCGGCGATGGCGAGAAGAATTCGAAGTGAAGTGTGGCGGCTGACCGGAGCGAAGGTTTCGGTGAAGTCTCGTCCATGTTCCTGGTCAAAGCCGCGAACGACCCATCGTGCTTTAAACTTGTCGATGGTGCCGTCGGCCTTCGTCTTCACACGGAAGACCCATTTCCCGGTAAGAATGGTCTTGTTTCGCGCTACACCGATGGGAACGACTTTCCAGGTGTTGCGTTCCTCTAATGCCTTCAGCTCCTTGTCCATGGCTTCGCGCCATTTTTCCTTATGCTCCCCCCCCAGAGCCTGCTGAACTGTCGCAGGCTCCTTAGGAATGTTGACGCCGTGGACCGCGGTGACGAGACCAAGGATTTGGAGTCCGCTCTGTGTGTAGCGGGGGAGTGTGGTGTCCTCGGGATAGACTGCTTCGTCTCCAGTTTCTGGATCGGGTGCGAAGTTGGGCCCTATGCGTTCTGCTTCGTTGGTGTTGACTTCAGCAGGTGTAACGTAACCGTTGTCGGCGAAGTGGTAGTAAGTTTCGGCGTTGACGCTTTCGCGAGGGTTTTCTTCGTCCATCGGTACGTCCACTGAGCAGTAGGGAAGAGGTCCGGCTTCTTCCGAGGCTCCTTCCACATTCTGCTCGTCCCAGTCAGCTTCGTCTTCTGTCGAAGCGAAGGCTCGATCGCCACGGAAGCCGCCTGTGGGGTCTCGATTTTCGTCCAGGTTGGCAAGGTACGTTGGCAGTGTGAGTCGTTCGTAGAAAATCACGTCACGTGCTGCTACTGTTTCTTTGCTGTTGATATCGAAGATCTTCCATGCGTTGTAATGTTTTTCGATGCCCAGGTGTAGTCCCCACTGTGCGCGTTGGGAGAATCGGCCGGCTCGTGCAGATGGGGGTCGGTACTGTACCATGCAGCCGAAGACTCGTAACATTTTTGTGCTGCCCAGTTTTCCTGTCCACAGCAGATGCGGTGATGTGTTGTTCGGGAGTGACGACGAAGAAAGCAAGTTGTGCAGCATCACGGCGTGGTCCATTGCTTCGGGCCACTGGTGGTTGGGTAGCCGCATGCCACGTAACAGTTTGCGCATGGTGTTCTGCAGAGTCCTGTTCATCCTTTCTGCTACACCCTGCTGTTGATGGGCGTAGGGAAGGGAGATGAGTCTCTTGATTCCCTTCTCCGCCAGGTACTGCTTGAATCGCTGTGACGAGTATTCTCCTCCTCCGTCTGATTGGAAGCTTTTGAGTTTAGCTCCCGATTCCCGTTCTGCTGCTGGAAGCCATGCCACGAAAGCCTCGAAAGCCATGTCGCGACTTGGTAAGTTTAGGTGCCAGACGTAGCGTGTAGCGGCGTCGATGAAGGTGATGGTGTAGTTATACGCGTTTTGTCCGGGTTCGCGGTTGTACAAGATGTCGCTGTATACTTTCTCGAGTGGTGCATATGCAGGTGCGCTTGGGTTGTGATGCGAAACGAAGGGCTGATGCGGTAAGTCAGCTTCGGGGCAGGTGAAGCATGTTCCTCGAGCTCGCTGAAGTTCTCTGCCGTCTGTTAAAAGCAGAGAGTCCTTGTCGAGTACTCCTGCTCGAATTGTGTTGTTTAACACAGTGTTGCTTGGGTGTCCCATTCTTGCGTGCCAGATTTCTTCGTTGGCGCGATGACCGGGTGAGCGCTGATACATGTCGGAGTTGGAGTAGAGACCGGTGGTGAAGTTGGGACTGTGATGAAATTCTCGTGGTGCTGGCTGAAGCTGTTGTGCAGGTGTTGGTGGTGCATCGTCGTTGAAGAGCGCCGTCGTTGAAGGACCGGCGACTGGTGTCGTCGTTGTCGCTGTTGCTGTTGTTGTCTCTGCTGCTGCCGACGTTGTCTCTGCTGCTGCCGACGTTGTCTCTGCTGCTGCCGACGTTGTCTCTGCTGCTGCCGATTGTTGAATCGCTGCTAATGCTCTTGTTCTCTCTGTTTCAGGAATGGTATGTGAATACCAGAAGCCGCCTGGACTGAAGTCGGGGTCAAGATCCGGAGGGTGTGTCCAGTTGGTAAAGTTGACTATGGCGTCACTGTCAGCGGTGCCGAGATCAGGAACGAAGTCCAAGACGAAGACGTTGTTTTTAAGGATTGCCTTCCCGATGTAAAGACCTCCTCTCCCGTGGTACAGCTTGAATTCTTGGGTAGTGCTGTCTGCTTCGAGGTGGATGCCTTTCGCCATCAACTGACTCACACTGAGAAGGTTGTATCCGAGGCCTTCTGCGATTAAAACTTTGGACATTTGCAGAATGACGTTTGTCTCCCGTGACTGAAGTTGTACAATTCCTTGTCGTCGTGTGTACAGGTTTTGATTATTGGCGACGGTGATGACGACCTCTCGTTGAAGCTGAGATTCTCTCTGTACGAAGCGTCCCGAAGAACACATGTGTTGTCCGCAGCAACTGTCCAAGAACCACGTGTCTTTTCCGGATGGCTCGTTTTGGGCGATGGCAGCGTATGTCGGATTTGGTTGAAGTGCTTCGCGACGAGGTGTGGTGTTGTCGAGTTGTTCTTCCGGTGAGTAATGAGGTGGTGAATCCATGACGCAAGAGTCACTTAGTCTTGCCATGCAGCTAACGATGTTTCTTGCTCCTTGCGCAGGTTGTCCCGTTGAGGTTGTTGAAGCTTGGATCTGGGTCGTTGGATTTGCTTGCGTTGACGCAATTTGACTGCTTGAAGGTCGAAGGTGTCGTTGCGGGGTCGTTGACTGTTGACGATTCGGGCAGTGCGTGCGCGGGTGCCCTGAAGTCTTGCAGATGTGACAGAAGGGAGGTACTGGCTTCGGCTGTTGTTGTCTGTTGCTGTAGTTGTTGTGTCGTCGTTGGGTGTGAAATGCGAACTCTGACGTTGTCGTCTTCTTCCTGTGTCGTTCTTCTTGCAGATCCATGTC